ATGTCGAACGCATATTTAATTGCGTATATTAAAAAGTAATAAAATAAAATAAGTAAAATAAAATTTATAATTTATAATTTCTAAATTTATAATTTATACATTTTACTCGTTAAATAAACATAAATTTTTATATACACTAATAATTTGTATTGATTCTGAAAGTCTTTTTTATTGTATTAACATATTTATTTGGGCCTAAATTTAATTATTAATAATAAAGTAAACATATTTTTAAATAGATTAACTAAGGAGATTTAAAAAATATAATATAATGATAAAATAATAAAAAAATCCCTATAATTAAAAAAATTCTTAAATATCAGAAATGAATTACCTACATCCAATTATTTTCAACACGCCGTTTCATATAATAAACTCGACACCGTTATATATATTATCATATTTGAAAACGAACGACAACGGAAACGTGATTATCGTGCCCGCCAACCAGGCGGGTCCATCAGTTCATTCGCATCATGTGTATAAGTCTGTTTTAAATCACGTTTATTATTTTATTAACAAATTCATGGCTTTCCGATTACATAAACCGGGATTCTAGAACGGGACAGAGATGAAAACTGCGATGATGAGGAGAGCCCAAATTAAAATTGAATCACAAGATTGAAACACTAATAATGGCACACGATATGTTATTCTCAATTACGGCCGGGTCCACCTCGACAACCACGTTGCTGCGACTGCCTTGCGTAACCTTGTCGATCACTAGCAAACGGAGAGTGCGTGCCGCCTAAAGGAGCACCGCGTAGAAGCAGGCGGGTAGAAGAGGAGTTCGAGCCAGTAAAAAGAGAGGGGAGTGTGAGCGATCACTGTCACAGATCACACTACCCGAGTCTCCACGGAGTAGACTGGTCCGCGAAGAGAACACGTTTTGAGCCGTAGCGAGCCCGGTGGGTTTCTGAATCACCGAGTAGTGCGTGTCAGGACGCCAGTAGCGGCCGGGTAAGTGGTGGCGGGAGGAACGGAAAAAACGAGAGGGCGAAAGAAAGAGAAAGGGAGACGAAAGATGGGTGGGAGAGAGACGCGATGATACGCGTTTAGGCGGCAACTTTGAGAGCTTCGACGTAACACTCCCGTCTCGAACCGCACGGGCAGATCGTGCGTGGTGTCCACGAATGGTCCACGCAGGGTGAGAGATCGGGTGCGACCCCCGGTGGGACGTCCGGGCGGCAAAGGTACAGTGAAAGGCGCCGGTCGAGGAACACCGCCAGGAACCGCCACGGCGTTCTGCGGAGGCGCCACCGTGACTGCGAAACCTCTGTCCCCTCACCCTCTCAGGAGTTGGAGTTGGTTGCGCGGTGCACCCCTATTCATGTACGCGTGTATGCGCGAGCGCGCGCGCGCGCACGCGTGTGTATTGCATGTCACATACACGTAGCATACCCTGACCGTGATCGCCAAGTACTTATGTATGTGTGTGCGAACGAATATGTGTTTGTACGGAAGAGAGAAGTAGGTGAAATCCACCTTCTCTCTACCTACCTACCTACCCCATACCCCACCCCATCCGCAGCCTGTTCGTGCTGCTGCTCGTGCGTGGGCTTTCGCGGCCATCGAAGTCGATATCCACCCCCGCCCCGACCAGTAGCTCGCGTATTATCCTCAAATGTTTCTCGGACAGTCATTTTGGGGATTCTCAAGTGTCCCAACTCCCCTTTTTTCAATAGCTCAATCCTCTTTCATTGATATAATTTGTAATTGTCATTATTTTTAAGTTATCTGTTTGTTTCTTGTCTCTGAGAAGATATTTTTTCTTTTACTTTCAGGAACTGCTATAGTTTCGGATAGAAATGGAAAACGATATAACTATATATGTTCTATATATATATTGTATTGTTAAAAACAATATGAATTATATGGATTAATTCATCATCGAAAATACTAAGAAATAGCAGGATTAATTACGGATTTTTAATAGAAAGAAAATAATCTTTAGAATTATATACATATAAGAGAATTTCAACTATTCATTCTTCGCTAAATCATAAATATATTTTATAATAACGATGTAAAGACTCTTAAATGTAAACGTAAATAATCAAACAAATACACGGCGAAAGAAGAGTCAGTAGATTACAAAGAGAAAAACAAAACATTTAATTACTTAAATTATTATGCGACGATACATGCGCACGGAACGGCATATATAAATGTGTAAATGTATAAACATGTGTAAAAATATAACAAGTTTCGGCTACAAGATTGAGCCCTCTTCAGATATAAAACGCAAAAGAGAAATAGACGATAAGTGAAAATTAAGTAAAAAACAAATCATGTCGCAATTAACATTAGACGTAAAGAAATAAAATTCAGATGGATCTCAAAAGTACGATTGAGTAATCAAGGTGTCCATTGTCCAAGCACAGATCGCTAGGCAAG